TTTGAGACGTAGTCTCACTGCCCAGGCTGGAGTGCAGTGCCATGATCTCAGCTCACTGTAACCTCTGCCTCCCAGGTTCAAGCAATTCTGCTGCCTCAGCCTCCTGAGTAGCTGGGATTATAGAAGCACGCCACCACACCCAGCCTATTTTTTTGTATTTTTAGTAGAGATGGGATTTCACCATGTTGGACAGGCTGGTCTCAAACTCCTGGCCTCAAGTGATCCTCCTGCCTCAGCCTCCCAAAGTGCTGGGATTACAGTCATGAACCACTGTGCCCAGCATCACTTAGCTATTTTAAAATGCACAGTACATTTGTCGTTAACGACAGTTATCCTACTCTGCTGTCAAACATTAGAACTTTTTTTCTGCCTTTGTTGTAAGTGGAAATCTGCAGACGTAACCCAAAGTAGAGGGCAGTGAGCCACCACGTGCCCGCCACTCACAGTGAAGCTTTCGAATGTACAGGCAGGACCCTTCAGGTTGCGGTGGGGTCAAGTTTTGATGCATAAAAGGGCAAATCCTCATTTACGTGGAAAACTTGGCTTTCAGTCACTGCTGGTTTCTCAGGCTCCTAGGCTGTTACAGTGTAGTTCCAGCACGCTAGCCTTTTGTTCTGGGAACCACATCTTTGTTCAACTCACATTTGCATTGCAGGTTGCTGTTGTCAAAATGAAGAATACTGAACGAATTTATGCAATGAAAATCCTCAACAAGTGGGAGATGCTGAAAAGAGCAGAGGTAAGTATGGAGCTTGAAGAGCCATACGAATGGGGTTTGGGGTGAGCAGAAAGTGACTGTGAAGCCAGCTGGGGAAAAGCTGCAGTCACCCCACAGCCCTGGGCCTCCCTTCCCCTGGGACAGAGCGAGCACTCTCTGTGGGGGAGGTCTCAGCCTCCTCCTGGCGCCTGTTGCTCCCCCGCCTCGGCGATCACTCGCTTGCTGGACGCCGTTCCTGAGAGTGCACCCTCGAGAACGTTGGCAGGGTTCTGTTTACTGTAAAGGCAAATAAAAAGCTTCCGGAGAGTTTTAGCATTGATTGCAATTCTGCTCCATACACAAGAGGAATGAACACGTTTGGACCCTGCTCACGTACAGAATGGGTCTTTAGATTCCCACCTAGAGGAGCCTCACGGTTATAGATGAAAGTGGACCACTGCTCAGCAGGCTTTGATCAGCTCCTGTTTCTTAGTTCAGTGTCAGTCTTCTTGGTGGCTGTTCCATGCCCCTGACCCCATCTCTATAGCCACGTGCCCAGCCCCTGGTCTCCCTCCTGCCTGCCCGAGGCAGGCCAGGCCTGCTGGGGAGCCCACGCTTTTCGTCTCTGGCCATCTTGAGTTTCTGTCCTCACCTGCCCTCTATCTTCCCTTCCCTGCACTCAGAGCCCAGGCCCTTCCTGGCCAGTTGACCTGCTGCTTCCTGCTTCAGATCTGCTCCGTCCATCATGCTCCTCTCCCGTGACTCCTGCCTCTCTCTGCCAGAAGGCAGTCCCTCCTTGCAGGCTGCCATTCATCACAATGGTTTGCTGTGGCCCCGTGTGTCTCTGACCTGCCCTCAGCAAGGCCTGTGCCTGGCAGCGCTGCGGCGGCTGTAGGCTGCTCAGCCCTGTGGTCAGTGCTTGCTTCTGGAGTTGGACGCCTCTCAATGTGGCCGCCACCTCATTTTGGGAATTCCTTCTTGGGTTTCTAGACCCTCTCCTCTTATCACTGTCACCCTCCTAGTAATTTGAGGTGACCCTTTCCTCTTTGGTCCTGGAATTTGTGCCTGTGCTGCCCATGATGGTTGGCACCTTGGGCCGACAGCAGTGCAACCATTGATTTGGGCCAGATCTCTCCAGGGCCCTGGGTCTTGTTAACTTGGTGGGCGTTACCAGTTCCTTGTGACTGTCATTCTGACTTTTCCCTCCTCCGCTCCGGACCCATTTCCCCTTTCCCTGCTGTGGCACCCAGCACAAGGTCTCGCACCCATTTGTTGCTCACTGAGCGCATGTTGGTTGACAAGAGTTAGCACCATTTTGCAGTCACTTTGGTCTCAAAATATCAGTGGCCTGTGATTGCTTCGGCTCCCTGCATCTCTCAGCTTCTGGGATGCACACGGTCTCCCTTCCTTCTTTGGGAGAAGCCTTTGCTCTCTTTGCCTCCATCCTCACTCAGTCGTCTCACCGTGTGCTTCCGCTGGGCCTGCCCTCGGCCCCAGCAGCCCTTTCCCCACCCCAAACAGTGGCAAACATGGGAATGTTGTTGGAGCAGACTTTTAGGGGGAAAAAGTAGCTACTGTTACATGAAAGTGTGGAGAGGTATAAGGTGTTTGGTATTTACCCAAATGTCATGTTAGATGAGTACATTTTAAAAGAGTAAATATTGCTGATTTAATTTGAATCTGGTTACGCAGATCCAGTTTAACTGGCATGCTCAGAAAAGTCCAAGAATGTTTGCTAGTCGTGATGATTATCCTGGAGTATGTATAATGGGCTATATGTGTGTGTAAGAGATATAAATATGGTGCTAGTTGCAAATAATTTATCTTTTTATTTTTATTTCATAGACTTACTTTAAACATTAGATTTTATAATACTGATTTACAAATGATTAAAAGCATGAATTAAACAAGAGGTTGGTAGGTAGAAGAGTTGCTAAGCAGTGTAAGTTTATAATTTTTCCACCAGGCTAGGTCTTTATTTCATCTTGTTTAAAAAATATTAAAAGTTTCTCTCGGCCGGGCGCGGTGGCTCAAGCCTGTAATCCCAGCACTTTGGGAGGCCGAGACGGGCGGATCACGAGATCAGGAGATCGAGACCATCCTGGCTAACACGGTGAAACCCCGTCTCTACTAAAAAATACAAAAAAAAAACCTAGCCGGGCGAGGTGGCGGGCGCCTGTAGTCCCAGCTACTCGGGAGGCTGAGGCAGGAGAATGGCGTGAACCCGGGGGGCGGAGCTTGCAGTGAGCTGAGATCCGGCCACTGCACTCCAGCCCGGGCGACAGAGCAAGACTCCATCTCAAAAGAAAAAAAAAAAAAGTTTCTCTCTCTGCTCCTTAGACAAAGCTGCTGGATAATACATAAGTTTCCTGTCAGCAGGTCACCCTGCGGGCAGTCCCTAGTTTAAGAATGGGTTTTTCCTAAGTGCTCTGGGCAGCTGCCAGGCAGAGCTTCAGGGAGTGTCTCCTAGAGGCGTTGGCGTAGATGCCGCAGATCCCCGGGGCAGGCTCGGCCTCCTGAGCCCATGGCCTCACCTCACCTGGGACTCAGCACTCCATCCCCATTTCTTTCTGGGGGTGTGTTCCGGAAGACAGGTGGACAGGCACACCGGGGCTCAGGTTTCCTTGTAGTTGCCCCTTCACCAGGCCCTTGTGGCCATTGGCAGAGGGGTCGTGATGATTCCAGAACTGCTGGTCTCTGCATGTCTGGACATTAGCAAGCTGAATGCTGACCTGTGTCATGTTGTCATTAGTAGAACTGGGACACAGCTGCAACAACCATTTCATTTTTTTTTTTTTTTTCTTTTTTGAGACAGTCTCTCCCTATCGCCCAGGCTGCAGTGCAATGGTGCAATCTTGGCTCACTGCAATCTCTGCCTCCTGGGTTCAAATGATTCTCCAGCCTCAGCCTCCCGAGTAGCTGGGATTACAGGCACCCGCCACCACGCCCAGCTCATTTTTGTATTTTTTAGTAGGAACAAGTTTCACCATGTTGGCCAAGCTGGTCTTGAACTCCTGACCTTGTGATCCATCCGCCTCGGCCTCCCAAAGTGCTGGGATTACAAGCATGAGTCACTGTGCGCAGCCAACCATTTCATTTTAAAAGAAAACCTTTTTTTTTGTTGTTTTAGAGACAGGGTCCCACTCTGTTACTTTGTTGTATGGGCTGGAATACAGTGGTATGATCTCGGCTGGGCTCATCGATCCTCCCACCTCAGCCTCTTGAGTAGCTGGGACTGCAGATGGGTGCCACCACACCCAGCTAATTTTTAAGATTCTTTGTAGAGACAGGGTCTCACTATGTTGCCTAGGCTGGTCTCAAACTCCTGGGCTCAAGTGATCCTCCCGCCTTGGCCTCCCAGAGTGTTGGGATTATAGCGTGAGCCACCATGGCCAGCCTGAAAGGAAAACTTTTTAAAGTTTAGAAAAGAAAACCTTGTAGAAGAAACAAGTTTCAGAGGTCACTGTGAGACTCAGCTGAGAGCCAGTCAGAACCGTGCCCTCATGCCTCACATAGCAAGCTCTCCATAATGTACTTATATTTTTGTTAAGCTTGACAAGTTTTAAATGTAAGACAGTTTAAATCTTGTTCTATGTTCAATAAAGGAGAAATCATGTTAAAATTTTGCTAAAGGCATGGTGACTTTTTTTTTTCTTTTTTTGAGACAGTCTTGCTCTGTGGTCCAGGCTGGAGTACAGTGGTGCGATTTCCGCTCACCACAACCTCTGCCTGCTGGGTTCAGGCAGTTTTCCTGCCTCAGCCTCCTGCGTAGCTGGGATTACAGGCACCTGCCACCACGCCTGGCTAGTTTTTCTAGTTTTTAGTAGAGGTGGGGTTTCATCATGTTGACCAGGCTGGTCTTGAACTCCTGACTTCAGGTGATCCACCCACCTTGGCCTCCCAAAGTGCTAGGTTTACAGGTGTGAGCCACTGCACTCAGCCAGGCCTGGTGACTTTTAAACAGAGATGCCACCTGGGCATTAAAACTCTCCTGGAAGCCATAGCAGGATAGAGGGCAGCCTCTTGCCCTGTGCTGCTGGCTGTAGGCCTTCCTCGTGGAGTCTGTCACAGTCGTGTCATCCCTATACTGTGATTTCAGCAAACGTGTGTGCCCTGTCCTGCCAGCTGCATGGCAGCTCAACAGTGGGGATAGGACAGAGAGGGCAGACACGTGGGGCCGCCCATGCCATCGATACTTGGCGGAGGTTGATCTGGTCAGGTGGTGCCGGGTGGGAGGAGTCCAGTCAGGAATCCACATGAGGGTGGGGTGAATCTTAAGTGTTGGCCACAGAAACGGTGCCTGTGGGACAGCAGGGTGCAAGGGCGTCCTCAGCAGCCCTTGGAAGTGCACAGGGGTCGGGAGAGGAAGGGATGAGGGATGACTCAGCCTCTGCAGCCTCGGGGTGGTGCACAAGGAGGAGCCCAGAAGGCAGGGACACCATGGCTGGAGCCACTGTCCCAGCAGGGACCCCGAGACTGGCAGTACGCTCTCTGACCTACTTCCCAGTGAACACAGACTGACGCCCCTCATTGCTTTGCAGACCGCGTGCTTTCGAGAGGAGCGCGATGTGCTGGTGAACGGCGACTGCCAGTGGATCACCGCGCTGCACTACGCCTTTCAGGACGAGAACCACCTGGTAGGTTGCACGGCCAGAGACTTGGTCAGGGCATTCGCTCTGGCTTTATTCCTTTATGCTGTCACTAAAAATTCAGTAAGACAACATGGAACTGGCATTTTAAAAATGTGTATTGGACTGGATAAAACGGAGGGGCTTGTTTTCATACAGTAATTGTCAGGTAGAACCTGTGAAAGTAAGGACTTTGTTTTTTTCTAATCACTAGAGAAGCTGATTAGTTCGTGTGCTGGGTTTGTTACTTTTAAATCAGCTGGGAGTTTGAAACTCTTTGAATCTTGGATCATTGGGAATAAGGAACCGCAGTGGGGATTCAGCCATGTGGACGTTTTTGCCTCCGTCTCATCTCGGGCTGAGTCGGGGAGTGCCTCTCGCGTGCCTGCAGTCCTCCTGTCGTCCCGCAGTGGGGCAGCTGCCCCAGGCCCTTCTGACAGGTTTTAGGTGACTCTTGGTCTCCATGCCGCCTGTGTATTTTTCTGACTTAAACAGGGCTTGCTTTCAGGACGGACGGACCAGCCTCGTGGCGCACATGCATGTGTTCACCTCCACTGCACTCTAAGGCAGCTGACTTAGCGGTGAAGGGGAAACCAGCCCTTGGTCTCGGCCACTGAGTGGCCCGCAGACCACCTCGTTCAGGACTTTTTATTCCTAGAATGACTCCCCAGGTTTGTCTGAACCTAAAAGTGTCCACTGCTGGAGCTCTGGGTGGACGGGACATGTGCAGACTTCAGAGAGGCAGGTCTAAGCCCAACTCATTCCCAGTGGCACCGTTTCTGCAGCGGTGGCGAGAGGGGTGTGGTCGCTGTGGTCACCGAACCTCAGGGCAGGGACCTGAGGCTTCCTTTTCCATGACAGCCAACGCGTGTGTCCACCTGAAGCTCCTGGGTTGTGCGCTCCACTGGTTCACAGCAGATGGAGTAGTGTCGGATCCTTCCATTCACCCTGAGTAATCCTTGAAGCATCAGAGAAAACCCTGAGATTTGAACACCCAGGATTAGAGAAAAGGGTGTGCTGATTATTCAGACTTTACATATATGTGTCTGCCCAGCAGAGGGGGCAGCTGGTGTTTGTTGACCACTTAGGACATTTCAGGCCCACAGGGGTCCCCGTCAGGCTTCCCAATGACCCAGTGATTCCACCGTTTCATAAGGGGGTGTCTGGGGCAGACAGAGGCAAAGTCACTTGCCCAGAGTGACCACATGGATGACAGCCCCTGTGTCCCAGTCCCAGCTCCAGCCTGGCAAGCAGGTTCCGGGTCCTCTGGGGCCATCTCCACATAAACCCCTGCCCCCCACTTCCTGCTCAGTGTCCCTGCTCCTGGGACCCTGGTGGACTGTCTCCAGTTCATTTCCACTTTTCATAAGAACTGAGTGAAGTTTCTAAGGAGTACAGGCAACTGGGATCTGTACGAAGGAAGATAATGCTTCTTGCTTTGTTTCTAATATTTTTCTGAAATTAGCATGCTGCCATCTAAAATGTTAGGTGTTGCCGGGTGTATTCTGAGTTAAGACACATCAGTTAGGAGCCCCTGTGAAGATTCCATGTCCTCAAGGTTTTGGAGTTGCCCGGGTAGAAGTACCATGAAAATGAAGGATGACAGAACAAAGGTGAGGCTTCGGAAGCTTTCTGGCCCGTGTCTGCGGGGCCGGCTTCTGCGGTGCACACCTGCCACCTTGAGCGGGGGCGTTGAGGGTTAGGCCAGTTCCTCTTCCTATGGTTGTGAGGCTGGCCCGAGTGCAGGCTGGTGTCAGGTGCCTCTCATAGTGATAGGGAAACGTGGGTTCCTCTGGTCACCCACGGGTTCTGGGTGGGTTCTGCTACAGTTTGTGTTGGAGCTATCTCGCGGAGTTTTATCAAAATTAGACCTGTTTGACTGCTAACTGAAACTTACTGGCTTAACTCAGCACCCCGCGTTCTATGACAGGACAGGCTAGGTCTGCTTCTCATTCTGGAGTGGGTCTCTGCCGTCTACCTCACCAGCTCCCGCGTTAGCTTTCCTCACAGACCGTGTTCCGGGAGACCGTTGGTAGACCCAGTGCTGCTGTAGGATGCTTCTGCTCATCTTAGAGTTCTAGGCAGACGTGGACATGGCTGGGGCTCAGCTAGTAAGGGTTTGACTCAACCCCACGGCTTTCTTCAGGGGCCCGAGGGCCTGACCCTTCGCCCTTCGTTCACTGCATCTCCCTGGCCCCGTGTGTGTGTGTGTCAGCTGCCGGGGCGTCTCCCTCTGGAATGCCTGCAGTGTGTATCCACCGCCCCTCTCTCCATTGCCCTCCGCACACAGCGGCACCTCCATGCCTGGGCTTCTGAACGTAGTTGGGGAACATCACCTACCCACTGCTCTGAGAGTAGGGCTGCAGCCCCCACTGTGGCCGGCCCTCCGCATTTGGCAGGCTCCAGCGTGCCACTGCCGCTTTCCTCCTAGCCGCTTTGCACGCACCCCTTCATCTGGAGCACAACCCTGGCTCTCCTCAGGCCTTTGCTTGGCAGCCTCTGGCCGGGCCACCTCACCAGGGGACCTGCGGTCGGCTGGCACTCACCACTGCCTGCTCTCCATGCTGGCCACGGTCTCTCCCGCCCCCAGTGTGAGCTCCGCTGAGCCAGGGGCCTTGCTGTCTCGTGCATGCCAGTGTCCCTGCTGCCAGAGGGGCCAACAGGGCCACGGTGAGGGTGCACAAGCAAATGAACAAACTGAAAAACTCGGCGGGGAAGGACAGGCAGTGCCTGAGCCAGGGCAGGGAGGCTGAGGCTGCCCTTGGCGGCGGCTTGAGGAAGGCTCCACAGGGCGGGACAGCAGTGGAGAGGCTTGGAAGGGATGAGAGTTTGCTGGTAAAGATTCTTTTGAGAGCAAGGACCTAAAATGAAGGCTTCTGTCATTTCCTCTCATCTAGCTGGGCCCCTCCCTTTCTCAGACAAGCCCACCGGTGGGCGCTTCCCCTCCTTTGGAGACACAAAGTCTGGTTGGATGTGATGGGCGTGGAGTCTGACTGTTGGGCCCAGGTCTTTGCTCTGTCCTTGCCTGCTGGGCGACCCTGGGCCCATCCCCAAGCCTCCCGTGTTGATGGGGTCTTGGTGCCGGAGGCGAGGGTAGGTGGGAGCGTGAACAGGACAGCACTGGCCTGCGTCTCACAGCCTGGGCCCGAGCGTAGGCCTTCATGGTGACAGAAGCTGATATGATTAGGTTCTCAATAAATACTACAGGGTCACTGCCCCAGCTGATAAACAGGGCGTTTTCTCCCTGTGTGGGTTGGTTAAAAGCTAGCTGTCCAGACCAGAGCGTCCATCTCATCACAGGAAATTTGCACGAAGGAAGGCAGCGCCTGTGAGGTGCAGGCCACGTGCTTCCCCAGCAGTCCCTGAGGCACAGTGGCCCCAGAGGTGAGGTGTTGGCTGCCACCCTGACTCTGGCTGTGATGGTCTTGCCCGTCCTGGGCCTCTCTGACCTGTGAGATCTCCCCACTGGGGCCTCCACAGACTGTGGGCTTTGTGGTCTGAACTTTCTAAGTGCTGCAAGAGACGGGCTGTCCTCAGGCAGAGCTTCACAGAGGCTCACCTCGGGGTCGCCCACTCCGAGCACACGGCTGGCCCGGTGGGGAGGGAACTAGCAGGGAAGTGACGGGTTCAGCCCTGTTAGCAGATATTTTTTCTTCTGTTACTCCAATTTCTACTTAAGCAGGAGCTTTTCTGAGGTTTCTGTTGGAGTGAACCTATAAGTAATTATTTTTTGGCTCTTTTGTGACGTAATCTTTCCAATAAGAGCTGCTGATACCATGTATCACGTGATGTTAGATACTTCGCCTCCCTCCTGTGGTCTGGTCCGTAACATGAAGGCCTGGAGAATTATTTTTAAACCCATAGAATTGATGGGCTATTAACTGTGCTTCTGCTTTGGGTCACTAGCTTTTAGAGTGCCCTCTCCAACATGAAACCCTTTCATCATTCCTCCCGTTGATTAAATACACCGCTTACTGAAGTCCGCTCTCTGCCACATGCACACCTGAAGATGGCGGCATCGTGGATGCATCGGGGCATGCCTTCCAGAAGGAGGGTCTCAGGTGACAGAAGAGCAGCTGAGATGCCACGAGCCAGACCTGGAGCCTGAGAACCTCGCCATGAAAGGCTGGCCTTTAATTGTCAGGTTTGGTGGTGACTAAATGTGGTATTCTCTCCCCTTCTCTTTGCAATTTGTAGTACTTAGTCATGGATTACTATGTGGGTGGTGATTTACTGACCCTGCTCAGCAAATTTGAAGACAAGCTTCCAGAAGATATGGCGAGGTTCTACATTGGTGAAATGGTGCTGGCCATTGACTCCATCCATCAGCTTCATTACGTGCACAGGTAACCAGCTTCTGATATATTTTATGGAAACCACGTTTAATTGTTAAAATAATCCTTTCAGAGCTCCCAAGTCCAGGCCACCCCAGGAAGCCATGTAGGTCGCGAGTCCCCACATTGAGCTGCCGCAGCACAGACTGATTTGCCCACATCGCCGTCTTCCAGCCCCGGCACCCAGTGGATCCCAGCTCTCATTGTTGCAGTTGTGACGGTCTAACTTCTGCCAGCTGAAGCCACTGTGTCTTTTGACATTTATTTGACATTGACTCAACCTCTCCCCGCCCGAGACCCCCTCCCTAAAATGCCGGTGCTCCCTGGGACTCATGTGGGGCCTGGGGGTCCTCTGTCTCCACTGCCCAAGACCCCCTCCCTGAAATGCCGGTGCTCCCTGGGGCTCACATGGGTCCCGGGGGTCCTCTCTCTCTACTGCCCGAGACCCCCTCCCTGAAATGCCAGTGCTCCCTGGGACTTGTGGTGCCTGGGGTCCTCTCTCTCTACCGCCCGATACCCCCTCCCTAAAATGCCGGTGCTCCCTGGGACTCGTGGTGCCTGGGGTCCTCTGTCTCTACCGCCCGAGACCTCCTCCCTAAAATGCCGGTGCTCCCTGGGGCTCATGTGGGGCTCGGGATCCTCTGTCCCTACCACCCTGAAATGCCTCGTATGGGGCCTGGGGCCCTCTGTCTCCACATCTTTCTCAACTCTGCTCTTCTCTGTGCCATGCTGACCCCTGAAGGGCCCCAGGAAACACAAAGGAAAGATGGGCTTGAGGAAGAGGCTTCCGTCACTACGACATGCAGGACTTGAGCTGAGAGAGCGTGTAGGGCAGAAGCCTGAAGCAGCTCCCTCTCCTGCTCTCCGGGGCCCCCTCTCCCTTCTCGGCTGGGAGGGCAGCTCCCCAGGGACTCAGCCACTGAGTCCACGTCTTCGCCTTCCTCTTGTCCTGAGATGCAAAGATTCAGTCCTGTGGTTTGTTTTGGTTTTTATTTTTAAAAACTAGTTTTACTTGTGTGTTTATTACAAGATAATTTTATGGTAATAGGTTTAAAAAGTCAAACAGTTCTGTAAAGCCTCCAACCAAAACCAAGCCCAGCCCTGGCGCCACTGATTATACTTGGTCAGATAACTATTGTAAACTTGTAAAATTACTTTTCCAGCATCTACCTTCATGTGTCTTAAGTCACAGGTTTATATTGCTGATTTCTTTCTTTTCTTTTTTGGCTTTAGATCACATCTGTTAAATTGAAATTGTAACTCTTTTACATAATTACCTCTTTCTCTCTCTCACCCATCTCTCCCACATATACTTCCAAACTCTCTTCCCTTCTCCCACATCATCCTTTTTATTTTTATTTTGATATATTTTTTAGGATGGAGTCTTGCTCTGCCACCCAGGCTGGAGTGTAGTGGCGTGATTTCACTCACTGTAGCCTCTGCCTCCTGGGTTCAAGAGATTCTCCTGCCTCAGGCTCCTGAGTAGCTGGGACTACAGGTGCCCACCACCTCGCCTGCTAATTTTTTTTTTTTTTTTTTTTGAGATGGAGTCTCGCTCTGTCGCCCAGGCTGGAGTACGGGGGCGCCACCTCGGCTCACTGCAAGCTCCGCCTCCCGGGTTCACACCATTCTCCTGCCTCAGCCTCCTGAGTTGCTGGGACTACAGGGGCCCACCACCACGCCCAGCTAATTTTTTGTATCTTTTAGTAGAGATGGTGTTTCACCATGTTAGCCAGGCTGGTCTTGATCTCCTGACCTCGTGATCCACCTGCCTCAGCCTCCCAAAGTGCTGGGATTACAGGCATGAGCCACCGCGCCCAGCCTAATTTTTTTTCATTTTTAGTAGAGATGGGAGTTTGCCACTTTGGCCAGGCTGGTCTTGAATTCCTGACCTCAAGTGATCCACCCACCTCAGCCTCCCAATGTGCTGGGATTACAGGCGTGAGCCACCGCACCCAGCCCCACATCATCCTGATTAGTATGGTTAAAAACTATCCTTTTAGCTATGGTTCAGTCAGCGTTTGGTGTTGATAATGCTATGACTGTGTAACTATGACAGCAGTGTTGTAGTTGAGAACTACACTTATATAAACTTTTGCTTTCTCTGGAGTTGATAATTGCCTTGCTTTTTGTTAGTTTTTTTTTGTAGCTGTCACTAATTTGTCCCCAGATATTATGGCCACGTTACGAAGCTCTGTACCCGGACATGCATCGGGTAGTCTCGGTCTGGTTTTCCTTGGCGCGCTGTCCCTTCCATCGTTCCCCTCCTGTCTTCCGCATTGGTTCCTCGTTTGTTCTGTGCTACACTCATTCTGAGATGGCTTTTCAAGTGCAGAGATTCCCTCTCCCTTTCTGGGATTGGCTCCCTGGTTTTACGAGTCATTCATTTTTCTTTTTCTTGGCTTTTAGTTTGGCTTGGTAGCGCATGTCCTTCAGTGGTATCTGGAACGGGGGTATATGAGATAGTTTTTTGAGATCAGTGTCTTAATTCCATGTGTGTCTGTGACTGGTGCTTTATCCAGTGTGGAGTTTTTGGTTGTAAACCACTTTCCCTTTGGAACTTTGCAGGCATCACGTGTGTCTGTGCCTTCCGCCCTGAGGCTGCTCTCGAGAGGTGGGAGGCCGCTGTGGTCTCCCTGGCTTTGTGTTCTGAGCTGTAGGCCTGTGCTCGGGCCCCCTCCGTGGTGATCAGGAGGCTTTCCCAAGCAGACACAGCCCCTCCTGCGTGGGGAGCGAGGGCGCCGCTGAGTTACAGGTCTTCCATCTTGCTGGAGTGCTGCCTTGTTGCTAGAGGAGGAAGTTGAGGTAGAGAGGTGGGCGCCTTGCCTCAGCCACGCTGCTGATGGCCTACACCTCCCAGTGCACAGGGAGCTGTCCTGAAAGAACAGACACTCGTTTAGTGTGATGAGATTGTGGACATTGCTTCTCTTTCTTTCTTTTTAAAAAATACATTTCTTAACGTAGTTATGCCTGCTTTTATAAGTTAGTATAAGGTTTTATTGATTGATTGACTGAGGTGGAGTCTCACTCTTGTTAACCAGGCTGGAGTGCAATGGCGCGATCTCGGCTCACCGCAATCTCCACCTTCCAGGTTCAAGCAACTCCTGCCTCAGCCTCCCGAGTAGCTGGGATTACAGGCGTGCACCACCATGCCCGGCTAATTTTGTATTTTTAGTAGAGATGGGGTTTCTCCATGTTGGTCAAGCTGGTCTAGGACTCCTGACCTCAGGTGATCCACCCACCTCGGCCTCCCAAGGTGCTGGGATTACAGGCGTGAGCCACTGCGTCCAGCCCATAAGTTAGTATAGTTTTTAACAGTTAGATTTATACTCTCTTCTTGGTAGAACTTAATTCACAATAGAGAAATAAGTGTCTTTGTATTTATCACAGATCTCCAGGGAAATAAGTTTGACCACCTTTTTAATTGTTTTCTCCCCCTAAATAGAAAGTGTTCTCCTCATTCCTTTTTTTTTTTTTTTTTTTTGAGACGGAGTCTCGCCCTGTCGCCCAGGCTGGAGTGCAGTGGCGCGATCTCGGCTCACTGCACGCTCCCGGGTTAAGTGATTCTCCTGCCTCAACCCCCAGGTAACTGGGTCTACAGGCACCTGCCACCACGCCCGGCTAATTTTTTTGTATTTTTCGTAGAGACGGGGTTTCTTTCACCGTGTTAGCTAGGATGGTCTTGATCTCCTGACCTCATAATCCGCCCTCCTCGGCCTCCCAAAGTTCTGGGATTACAGGCGGGAGCCATCCTCATTCTCTTAATTGGCTGTGTAGAAGCTTTGCTCAGTCGTTTGACCTCCAGGCTTAGTAGACATCAAAATATGTAATTTTAAAAACTTTATTTTTCCCCCCAAATTAACTCATTATTCAGACTGAGTGCCCAGATGCAATCTAAAAATAGAGATGTTTCTAGGAGGCTTGTCTTACCCCAGTCTCAGGTGGGGACATTGTGAACATTTGGTGGGGTCAGAAAGAAATGTCATTGGCGCCAGAGTGGTGCTGCTGGCCGATGTAACTGTGTGGTTTGGAGCCTGTGCCACTGCGCTGCCGCTTGGGCCCCTTCCTGTGGTTGGTTAGGTGCTGCGGGGATTCCATCCCGCCAGGCGGGGGTCTGCAGCTTTCACAGCAGCTGCCTGGCTTCTGCAGCTGGACCCCAAAAGCTTTCTGGGTGAGGAAATCAGTGGGAGACCAGGACCCAGCGTGTGCCCCTCACAGGTGTGTACAGCTCCTTCCTGAGAGGTCAGCCCCTGGTGATATCAGGAAAGGCAGAGATCACGAATGGCACAAAGGGTTTCAGAGAGAGAGAACACTGGCCAGACACAGTGGCTCATGCCTGTAATCCCAGTACTTTGGGAGGCCAAGGCAGGTGGATCACCTGAGGTCAGGAGTTCAAGACCTGCCTGGCCAACATGGTAAAACCCTGTCTCTACTAAAAATACAAAAAATTAGCCAGGCTTAGTGATGAGCACCTGTACTCCCAGCTACTCAGGAGGCTGGGGCGGGAAAATCACTTGAACCCGCGAAGTGGAGTTTGCAGTGAGCCGAGATTGTGCCATTGCACTCCAGCCTGGGCAACAAGAGCGAAACTCTGTCTCAAAAAAAAAAAAAAGAGAGAGAGAACATCACATCCCCAAAGAGAGAGCAGAGAGTGTAGTGTGTGAACAAAGTAAGAACAGAGTACAAATTTTAAGAAAAAGAACATGTAGAAAACAAAAAGTCTTGGAAAATAAAAGCTAAAGTAAAAAGTTCAGTGGAAGAGGCAGAAGATGAAGTAGAGGAAATTGGCAAAAAGAAAAAAAAAGAAAAAAAAAACCTTGGAGAGAAGATCTGGTGGTCAGAGTGGCTCTGGAGCCACTCCCCAGGTGGTGGGCTGTGTGCTCTGGAGGCTGAGGCGCACCTGCTGTGGGAATCAGACTTCTGTTGGTTTTGCAGCTGGAAGCTCCACAAGGGGAATGGTTGGAAGCAGGAGTTGACATCACTCAGAAATGGGACGGTGAGGGACAGAAGCA